TCTCTTCATTTCTTTGAAATGCATTACACTAATGTGTTCCACTACCAGTAATGTTTCCTTCAAAAGGGTTTAAGTGTATTTTTGACAAAGAAGTTCATGTTTCTCCTCATTTTCTTGGGGAAATGGTCATTCCAATTAAAATCTCCAACAGAAAAGTCTTGTGTTCATCACAAGTAGCTGCTTTATGCCTTTCGTCCTCCTTGTGGGCTTAGGAGACCTTCTTCTTCCTTTTCACTGAACCTCAGGAATGGGGTGTAGGTGAATGCCAAGCCAAAGAGCAAGAAATATTTAAATTCCACTCTCCAGGCAGTTTTTATAACTCTTGAGAATAGCTATTTTGTTTAAGAAATGTGGTCTGATTTGTTAGGCTTGCCTGTTTTTCTGAAAGCCACCATATTTTGATTATTTATACTTTTTTTAAAGCATGCAAAGAGCTTATGCACATGGGGCCTTTCACAGAGAGTACCACTTATCCAAGAGAGCATTGTGAAGTATAATCAGCCCTGCAGCAGAACAGCTACATGTAGCCAGGTCTCCCTAGCAAGCAAGAGAACTCTCAGATCTCCACAGCTGCCTGATGAGGAGTGAAAAGGAATTGACTACTACCTTTGCAAGCTTACGAAAATATTGTTTCAACTTTAAAAGCATAGTAAATTCTTTCAACTATACAAAAAAAACCCAATATAGTAGATCCCCATGTCCTCACACCACTCACATTTAGTAGATGTTAAAATACGGAGCAACTAAAATGTTTAAGTTGGAACTTAGAGCTGGTAGGAATCAGGTATAAGGCAGGATAACAGGAGAGAAGATGAAGGTAGACTCTAACCTGACAAGAAATAAAAGATGGGGGAAAAAAAACCCCTCAAATAGACCTAGTGCCTCTAAAACTGAAATTGTGTGCATTTGGAATCACAAGCAAGCACCTCTCCTGATTTTGAGTTTCTAATACTTCCTCTTATAGTAATAGAATATAGTCAATATTTTGTTGCTGACCCCAATTGTCAGTGAAAGAACAGAAGGGAAGCTTGTTAGTTACACAATGAATTTGAAAAATGACTGCTACTCAAGAAGCTGATAAAGGAGAACCCTTGAGACCAGGAGTTCAAGACTAGCCTGGCAACATAGCAAGATGCTGGCCACAACAAAACAAAACAAAAACCCATGTTTACATGAATTTAAGAAATTTGACAATCAAATTTTGCCACTCCCAAGGGGTACATTTGTTTTATGAAAATTTTGGTATATTCTTCTATAAAACTAAAACCTCTTCACTGGCAACACAGTTGCCAAGTTAGCAAGACAGTTGTCTTTGAATTTTTGGACCCAGATTTAAAGTAAACTTTTTCTTGAAGAACAACCTACAGGGCTGGGAAGGTGGCTTAGTGGTAGAGTGCTTGTCTTGCATGCATGTCACCCTGGGTTCGATTCTTCAATACCACATAAGCAGAAAAAACTGGAAGTGGCGCTGTGGCTCCAGTGGTAAAGTGCTAGCCTTGAGCTGAAGAGCTGAGGGACAGCGCACAGGCTCAGAGTTCTGGCCCCACAACTAACCAAAAAAAAAAAAAGAAAGAAAGAAAAAGAAAAAAGAAAAGAACAACATGCAGAAAAGTACCTAAATCTAAGTGGTATGTTATCATAACAAGGACACATCTGAGTACCCATGTCAAGAAGCAACATTCCAAATACCCAGATTCCTCTTTCCAATTCCTTTCAGTTATAGTAACTTTCTGACTTTTAAAATAAGATTTTTATTTATTTATTTTTATTTTTAAATTTTTATTTTATTTTATTTTTGTCAGTCATGGGGCTTGAACTCAGGGCATGGGCACTGTCCTTGAGCTCTTTTGCTCAAGTCTAGTGCTCTACCACTTGAGCCACAGTGCCACTTTCAAATTTCTGGTAATTAATTGGAGATAAGAGTCTTCAGACTTTCCTACCCAGGCTGGCTTTGAACTGTGATCCTCAGATCTCAGCCTCCTGAGTAGCTAGAATTACAGGATTTTTTTTATCCTCAAATCTCTCTCTCTCTCTCTCTCTCTCTGTCTCTTTCTTTCTCTCTCTCTCTCTCTTTCTGTCTCTCTCTCTCTCTCTCTAGACTGGGGCTCTACTGTGTTGCCCAAATGACTTTGAACGAGCAATCCTCTTGCCTCAGCCTCCAGAGAAGCTAGGATTATAGTTTGCATCACCATATCTGGCTACCAGTAATTTAGATCACTAATTGTGATTAAGTGAGCTATGTATCTCAGCCTCAGCTTCTCCTCTAGATAGTGATAATAATAATTGTACCTTTCTTGGAGAGTTGAGGTGAAATCAAAATGTAAGCATGTAAAGCACTAAGCATGTTGCTGTTACTGAGCAAAGGGGTTTTTTTTTGGGGGGGGGAGTGTGGATGAGAGGAGGGGGAAGAAATGAGATTAAACCAAGCACAGGGAGATTATATATATTTTTGTTTATTGACACAATTTGCAAGGAGTTCCACATTGTGGATAAAAGGTCACTAGGTAGTGGATTTGGTTTCCCTGAAAACTGGCTAATTGCCTAGGACATGACGCTGAGAGAAAAAGCTGGAGGAAGGTAAAGCAGTGTTTGAATTGTCATCAGTTGAATTCTACATTTTGATTGGTTTCAAAAAAGTACTTGGAGGGCTGGGATGTAGCTTAGTGGCAAAGCGCTTGCCTAGCAAGTGCAACGTCCTGGGTTCGATCCCCAGTACCAAAAAAGAAAAGACAAAAAAAAAAGTACTTGGAATTTATTTATTTAAAAAAAATGTGGCTGGGTGCCATGACTCATGCATGGAATCCTAGCTACTCAAAAGGTGGAGATCTGAAGGATTTCTGTTCAAGCAAAGGCATTTGCATAGGTATAGGTTCAGTCTATGCAAACAGTTCACAAGACTTGGTCTTACCAAGTAAGCTGGATATGATGGTATGAGCCTGTGATTCCAGCCATTTGTACATTAGAAGTAGAAGGATTGCTCTCTGAGGCCAGTCCCAGGTAAAAGTGAGATCCTCTCTGAAAAAACACTAAAACAAAAAGGACTAAAAGAGGTTGTGAGATCAAACCCTAGTATCACTGCCCCCTCCTCCCCAAAAAAATCATAAGTTACAGACACACAAATAAGTAAAACTGATATAATCTGAATTAGGTCAATGGATTACACTGTTGTCTGTTTTCTGGTTGTGATGTGGTACTGTAATCATGTAAGATGTCACCAGTTTGGGAAAATTGGTGAAAAGTGTCTGAAATCTTTATGATTTCTTATAACTGCATGTGAATCTACAAATATCTCAAAATAAGAATTTAAGGAGAACACTTATGGAGCTCCATGCCTTGAACCTGAGATTGTCTTATGTTCTGAGGCTGTAAGGGAGCGATAGCAAGGCACAGTGTGCTAGGAGATGAAATAAGAGCTAGCTTGAAAATACCCTCTTTCTTGGGGCTGGGAAGGTGGCTCAGTGGTAGAGTGCTTGCCTTGCATGCATGAGGCCCTGGGTTCGATTCCTTAGCACCACATAAGTAGAAAAAGCTGGAAGTGGTGCTTGAGCTGAAGAGCTGAGGGACAGTGCACAGGCCCAGAGTTCAGGCCCCACGACCAGCAAAAAAAAAAGAAAATACCCTCTTTCTGATACTGCAATAAATTTTATAAGGATACTGGAATTATTGGCTTGAAAAGATTATTGAATACAAAAATGCTTTTACCAAGTCTCTAATCTTTCAGGAAGTATAATCACAAGCATTCAAGTGGGATCCATATAAACACTGAAATTAGTAAGGTAGCAATCCCTCAGATTTGGGGTTAAGTGCAAGGAAAACTGTCCTGGTGAAGAGCAGCCAAGAACTGGAATGAGAACAAAGTAGGAAGAGCGAAATCTCGTCATGATAACCTGCTTTAAAGAGGCTGAATTTAGCTGGGAAAGTGGCTCAGTGGTAGAGCGCTTGCCTTGCATGCATGAGGCCCTGGGTTCAATTCCTCAGCACCACATAAGCAGAAAAAAAAGCCAGAAGTGGCATGTGGCTCAAGTAGTAGAGCCCTAGCCTTGAGGTGAAGAGCTGAGGGACAGCGCCCAGGCCGAGTTGAGGCCCCACGACCGGACCCCCCCCCCCACCAAAAAAAGCGGCTGAATTCACATCTGCATGTGTTCCTGCCCAAGAAAGGACTAAATGCTCCCTTGCTTTTATGATCCTAAGTTTTACTTAGTCAGGTTTTAATTGTCTTTGATACAGTCAGGAAACTTTTTATTAACATTAACTAGAATTAAGCAATGTACATGACACACTGATAGAGTGGAGTCTATCTTCCAAGGAAGTATTCTTTAAATTTTTCAATCTGCCACACATTTCCAAATATTTAAATTTTCTGGGATGGGGGTCATGTCTTAAGTAGTAGAATGTTTGTCTAGCAATAATGAGAGACCTTGAGTTCAAACCTCAGTACTGCAAAACAAAACAAACAAAACACAAAACAAAACAATACATTTTGCCTAATGTGAACCCATAGATGGGCAGATAGGGACAGGATATTATCTTCAGAATAGAAATTATTCTCATGCTGTTTAAGGTGACCATTTAACCTATTGCTTAAACTAGGACACATATTTTTAAAGCCTTTTTGTCTTGAAGTTTGATCTAAATACAGAAAAGTATACATAGAAGTGTACCCATTTCTGGTTACAGATCATTCATTGTCTTTGTTGTATATTATTCTATGGTATGAATACGTCACAATTTATTCCTCCTATGGATGATGAGCATTGAGGAAGTTTCTGAGTTTGGCTACTGTATCTAGTGCTGCTTGCAATAGTCTACAATTAAGAATACTTCTGGAGCTGCATACGTACATCATTTGGTGGAAAATATACATGAAAACCAAAGGAATACCCTGAGATGTCAGGGAGAAGGAGGAGCTAAGAGAAAGGGTTTAAAGAAGGAAGTATCCATCTGATCAAACTGTTTTGTGTTGTTGTTGTTGTTTCCAATAACACATTTTGTCTCCTTAGCCATCATCGTATACAGACTACCATGGACCTGGAAATGCAGCAAACTCCTGATGAAATCCATACATGCAGGGTTAAACACCGTGGCAGCCATCTTTGCCATCATTTCTGTGGTAGCCGTGTTTGATAACCACAATGCCAAGAACGTCCCCCATATGTACAGCCTGCACAGCTGGGTTGGACTGACAGCTCTCATACTATATGTCTTACAGGTCAGTGTCTCTGTGTATTTGTAAGTGAGGTACAAAAAGTAAGTTTGGAGATGGTGAATGCTTGCTAAGCATGTGTTACATTTGTTTTCCATTATAATTCTTTTCTTGGGAAAAGTTACACTAGAACTGCAAATTTAGTCTAGAAGCTTGAATGTGAGATTGCTAGCCATTGACAATTTAGTAAATTGCTCCTAACATCTAAATGGACATTGCTTAGCCCTTGAGTTCTGTGTGCTGAATGAACTAGCATATATATGCAGGACTCTAGGTTTGTAGGTTTCTTTCCCACATTCTCTGCCACTTCTCTAGGTTTACTGTCATGAAGAAAGAGATGAATTTGGAAGTGGTTCTGTAGCTCAAGTGGTAGAGCACTCGCCTTGAGCTGAAGAGCTGAGGGACAGCCTTCGGCCCAGAGTTCAGGCCCCACGACCGACAAAAAAAAAAAAAAAAAAAAAACCTGTACACCTAGAAAGAGATGAATTTATAACTTTTTGCTAGATTTTGAAGGCTCAGTAACTATTTTATTTCCCCCCTTTCTTTTCTTTCCTTTCTAAAAGAATGTACTCTGGGAGTACTGTATTGAAACATCATTTTGTAGAATGTATCAGGTGTTTAGCCATTCTAATTAACTTTGTAGTTCTAGAAAGTTGATGTTGTGTCTAGAGTTTTATCCATAATGTTGAAAAGTCTTTTTAAACTGTATTTATTCACTCTTGTTCTTTAATTAGCACCACATGTGTTCAACTCCCTGCTCAAGGTGTCGTTGTGAACTTTACTTCTCTGGGAATATAGAAGTGAGACAAAACTTATCCAGGGAAAAACCAGGACCACTTACTAGACTTTTGTCAATTTTCTTCTTAAAGCTAAAATGTTAAAGCTTAATGCATGATCATTAAATCAAAGTTATTATCCCCATGGATACTTAATTATTTACATTTGTATAAGTGGGTGTGGAAGAAGGGTTTGGGAGTGGAAGAGACCCAAACAGGAATTCATGTATGGGAGATAACTCTGTCTCAGCCATGAAGAAGGAACAAGGGAAACATGTCTGCAGGGATGGCTGAGCCTAGCTCGTAGCTCTTGTCTTCAGGTTAGTCCCTCACCTCCCGCCTCCGTGCTTTTAGCCTCTGGGGCACATCTAGCAGTCAGCTTTCTCCACTGCCACCAGCCACTGAGTCCTGCCTCTCAGGCAGGAGATGAGTATACCAGGGGCCACTGAGAGCTGTCAGTTGTCAGATGCCAGACATGGAACCTCATGATTTTTTTTCTAGCTCTTTATTCTGCTTCAAAAAGCCAATCCAGCTGGTTTTGCTTTGGTTTCCCTGTACCACATCAGAATGCAGAACTCAGAAGGCTACCATAGCCTGTTCATATGTATCTTGCCTGAGGTGAAACACAGGCACCAAGGGCAAAGGTCATCTTCCTGGAGCTACATAGCCAGTGGCCAGAGGGAGGACCTCAGGCCCAGGCTGTCCACATCCCACATCCTGAGCCCTTCAAATTACTACTTGGTTCTACTGTTTCCATGAATTTGCTATGGCAATCCATTCTGTGAGTGAGCATCCTCAGTGGAAGGCTGCATCTCAGGATCAGAATGAAAAGCACACCTATTCTGATAAAGTTTTCACATCTTTCACTTACTGCTTGAACAAGCTGTTTAAGAAGAAAATTGAATCATCACCAATAAGTATATTACAAGATGTCCACCCTCATGAAAAAGTTAGAGAAATGCTTGTTAAAAATAATAAAATAGTTTACCCCTATAAGATCAGTGACAGACAATGTCACACAACAGTGCTCATCACTGGCATGATGAGAGGTAAAGGGTACAGGTGCTCTACTGATAGGAGAGTGAATTGCCACAACATTTGGGGAAAGTGGTTTTTAATAGCTATTGATTTATTCTAATATGCTTACCCTATGACCTGGCAATCCTATATTTGGGGGAGTGGAAATCAGATCCCACCCCAAAAGGAACACCGTTACAGAGTTTTAATGCAGCATTGTTTGTGTAGGAAGGAAACAGGACACAACTTGAATGACTATCAATAGAACAGTTAAATGATTTATAATCAATTCATATTTGTCACATACAGAGTAACTACAAAGAATCTCATCATACCTATTGACCAAACGTGAAATCCATGATATAGTTTCCAGTATTAAAAAAATACCAGAAGGTTACATACATAGTCAAAAGTCATAGATGAGGAAGAAAAAAAGAAATGTGTGGAGTAATATACCAAGTTGTTCTTGTGTGGTGAGGTTGCTTGAAAGGAGTTATTAAATTTTATATTTCTTTCTTTCTTTTTCTTTCTCTCTCTCTCTCTTTCTTCCTTCCTTCCTTCCTTCCTTTCTTTCTTTTTTTTTTTGTCGGTCATGAGACTTGAAATCAGGGCCTGGGTGCTATTCCTGAGTTTTTTCGCTCAAGTCTAGCACTCTTACCACTTTGAGACACAGAACCACAGAACCACTTCTGGTTTTCTGCTGGTTAATTGGAGATAGGAGTCTCGTGGACTTTACTGCCTGTGCTAAGGTCAAACCAGGAGCCTCAGATCTCAAACTCCTGAGTAGCTAGGATCACAGGCATGAGCCACCAACTCCTGGATCTTTATTTTATTTTATTTATTGATTAATTGATTTTTGTGCCAATCCTCTAGCTTGAACTCGGGGCCCAGGTGACATCCCTGAGAGTTTTTTGTTGTTGTTGTTGTTTTTCCCTCAAGACTAGTGTTCTACACTTGAGCCATAGTTCATTGCACTTTCAGCTTTTTGGTGGTTATTTGGAGATAAGAGTCTCATGGACATTTCTGCCTAGGCTGGCTTTGAACTGCAGTCATCAGATCTCAGTCTCTTGAATAGCTAGGATTACAGGCAGGAGCCATTAACCACCTTGCTAAATGTTATACTTTTTAACATAATAATAATAATGTTTTACTTGCTTCAACTTGTATGTCTTTGTTTTAAATATAAGTAAATCACATGTTATATAACTATCACATGTAAATACAAATATACACATACACCTACATATAAAGTTTTGAAACTAAGCAAGCAAATACCATTCCATCTCCCAAAAGTGATGCGTGGTACAGATTTAGTACTCTGGGATGTTAAAAAAGCAAACTATAGTACATATATAGAAATTACCAGTCATCATAATAAAATGAATTTCCATGATTTAACAACCAAGCTAGTTTAGAAAACCTTCACTCCCTTCTGATCCCAGCTTGCTCCCACATTTCTGGACCCACTCTAACCCCTTGATATGACTAGTCACTTGGTGTTTTTTTTCTCATTTTTTTTATACTTCTGCCACAGAAGTGAATCAACATACTGTGAATCAGTATACTAAAAAATTAAACAGTAATGTAATTTGGTCTTTTAAATTAAAATTTTAAAATGCTATAGTGTGGGTTGGGAAGGTGTCTCAGTGGTAGAGTGCTTGCCTTGCATGCATGAGGCCCGGGGTTCAATTCCTCAGCACCACATAAGCAGAAAAGGCCAGAAGTGGCACTGTGGCTCAAGTGGTAGAGCGCTAGCCTTGAGTTGAAGAGGTGAAGGACAGTGCCCAGACCCAGAGCTCAGGCCCCACAACTGACAAAAAAAATGTAGTGTATACTAAATTCTATTGCATCTTAAAAAAAAAAAAACTCAACAGATTCAGCTACATAATTTCTCTAACCAGAGTCTATACTTAGCCCAGGCTAGCTTTGAACTTGAGACTCTTTTATTCTCATCTCCCAAGACCTATGATTACAGGTATGTGCTACCATATCCAACCATACATCTTTACTATTTCTGCTATTAAACCTTTGGGCTATTTTCAATTTTTTTTTAACAAAAACTGTGGCACTGAACATTTAGACACTTCTTGGCTGATCTTGATATGCAAGGATTTTTCCGGGCATATATGTAGGAGGGACATTATACATTCAAGTTGAAAAGATAATACTTAACTGCTTTCCAGTGTTTGGCCCCAAACTGTATTGCTGCCAGCAGGATTTAAGTGTTCCCATATGGCTATTCTTTGCCAAACTACATCCCCTTCAAAGTTTTAAATTATTGCCAAATAATGTTTTGTACTTTTAATGTTTGTTTGATTTATTTTCTACAAAAATGCTTGTTTGTATCTTTTATTCATTAAAAAAAGATTTTTAGGGCTTGGAGACATGGCTCAGGTGGTATAGTGCCAGCCAGTGAATGAAAGCATCAGATCAAGTATTTGAATCTTGGTCTTGGACAAAAAAATATATATTTCTTTTCTTAGAGATTTGTATGAATTCTGCATTTTTAATTCCCTTTCATTTATTTATGTGTATTAATATAACTTCTTCCTATTTGAATCTTGAATTTTTCTCGTTAGTATTTTAACCAAGAATAATCTCAATTTTAATCCAATTAGTTATCTTTTCCTTGAAGGTTATCATTCAGTTTTGTTTTCTTTTAGTGATTTGTTTATGAAGTCCTTCCTTTTTCTGAGGTCAAATTTTCTGCTATGCTTTCTATTAAGAATATTGAAGTTTTTTCTTAAGTGTTGGTTTCATGTGGAATTTACTTTAGTGTTTGGTATGATTTTTATCCTCCTAACTTTATTTCTCTCCATATAGATGAATTCCCAGCATCATTTTTGCCTCATTCCTGTCTTATTATTTATCTGCAGTGCCATTTTTTTCTTTTTTTTTTAAATTGCTTCCCCCACCCCCTGCAGTCCTGGGACTTGAACTCAGGGCCTAGGCACTGTCTCTGAGCCTTTTTTGATCAAGGCTAGCACTCTACCACTTGAGCCACAGCACCACTTCTGGCTTTTTCTGTTTATGTGGTACTGAGGAATCGAACCCAGGGCTTTATGCATGCAAGGCAAGCACTCTACCACTAAGCCACATTCCAAGCCCTGCAGTGCCAATTTTGTTACATGTCCTTTTCTCTAAGTCCTCATCAGTATGGGAGGAATTCAGGAGCGTTGAGGTACTGAAGCATGTAGGCATGCACAGAGTACA